ATCCTTCTCGGTATTTCGTACTCTGCACTAACCCATTCCGCGGCACTACACGGCGCAGACCCGATCCGTACCACAGAGGTGGGTACTCTTCTTAGTAGGTCAGCAAGCGAATATAAGGAACATTCGATAGTAACAGTATTTTGTCAACACCGGCCCGAATTGAATCAGCACATATCTTCCATTGTCGACTCACTTGGCCCAAGCTTCAAACGAGAATTTACTGACCACTTCTGCCCATCAATCTTTCCTGAACCACTACAGCGACTATGAGAGCCATTCCATATGTTCATACATTGTATCATTCATACTTGCCATTTTTGAAATAAATAATATTATCCCTATACGTATACTGCGTGTGTGCGGAAAAGTATATGTGTTGAATAACCATAAAGTATATTGTACCTATTGTATAACACTAAATACAATATAATTTTTTAGGTATATGTAACTATAGGTACAATCAGTATACCGCGGTAAATCATCAAAATGACCAGCAGCACAGTTGCAAGACCGTGGCTACCGGTGGTACTAGGTCAATTACCAACGATCAATCTTTTTACTATAGTCTTAGATGTGAATGCGATATTTTGGCTGAGGTGCAGGTACGGTCCAAAAAATAACATGCGGGTTTGTTTCCTGGACCGGTACGGACTTTCAATTTTGGGATTTTATGTAGCCACTTTATTGTCAAAATACTGCCGATATTGCAAGGTAGTTTTCAAAGCAAAAACTGAATCCAATGGTAAATAACAAGTTATGAACCGTATTTATTTATCTTTTAGCCAATTAATACTATCAACTGGATTGTCTAATTATAAACCAAAAAGAATAAAATTCGACCTGCCTTAGAGCCAATCAGCTGTCTTGAATCATTATCTCGAATTGGGTGGAAACTACAATACGATTAAGCCATTTGGGGGTTTTTTAAAAGAATAAAAAAAAAGAAGCAAAATATCAAAGTTGATAAAGGGCCGATGTGCCTTAAACGTTGTAAATACGTACTTTAGTTTTCACAGTTGGGCAATCGGAGCATTTATTTACGTATTTTTGATAGAAATTTTACTTAAGACTTTAAGTACATAAATGACGTCACACTCCCTATAACGGAAAATTGTTGTGACCTTTTTCGTACTTTAATCAGCAGAAACGAATTATGTCTCCTACAATTGTTTTTAAAAAAAATCCAAAAATTGGACAAATCAATTCGACTATCCCATTGGCTCACGAACTTTTATGCTTTTACTTCATTTATAAGAAGAAAAAAAAATGAAAATCTTAAATCGTTAATATGACTCGCCCTAATAGAACAAGCTATGAAAAACCCCAGTTAAATATTATTTTATGAACATCGTCAAGGTCAATCTGTTGCCCTGCCATTTTTTCCGCAGGGCATAAGTGCAGTCACTGCTGTGATTGGGGGTGTACATGATGTATGCACATTGATGAGAATGTTTGTCGCAATTTTTTTACTTCATACACCAGTGACCAACCAGAAGGACACGTTAGAGAAAGTCGGATTCATTGGAGCAGTAACGGAATAGGCCAAAAGTGGTAACTGATCTGGACAAATCTCGATCACAACCGGCCCAACTCCTCTCGACCTCGGCATGGTTCCGAGGACTGTTACCGATCCTGGTTCTGACTTGGTATTTTTATTTTATTTTATTTGTTTTATATATTCTTTTAGCTAACGATATCGATAGCGCCAAGGAAAGTTGCCTGCATAGCTTGTATTCTCCAATCGTTCCTTGTCCTTACTGACCATATGCGACACCTTATTGACTTCCTTAATTATCTCGTCTCTGCAGAAGATTATTCAAACAAAGGTTCCGTGAGTAATGCTGTCACACACCCATACGATAATGCACGCAACTGACACAGCAGCAGGCTAATATATATCAGCAGGTCATACACACGAAGTAGAGTGTCCATCTGAGTGTCACATAGATATCGCATTAAAAGAAGGTACAAAAAACCGTTGAAAAACCCATTTCCTTGCGATGCTTGAAAGCCAGTGTTATGCCGAAAATAAATATAAGAAAGCAAGAGATAAGCAACAACTCTCTCGTCCTGTAAGATGTGTCTCCAATTAATTCAGCGCCCCAGATCACATGTAATTTTGTTGCAGCTCATGATTACCACAGCTCGACAACGCCAGTCTTCACGCACATCGCATGTGAATAATCCAAGAATTTTACAAACACTCCGTCCCCACAAGCTTCAACACTTCCCCGTCCACCCTTAACGTCCACCCGATATTCAATAGTCCCTTCGTGGTACACACACACAGACTACGATGTACACACCTCTCGGGTCCGAAGAGCTTGCTGCCAAAATTATTGATGAATTTGTCCGGGTGCCAGCGTAGCATTGCTTTCCTGATCTTCTTCTTAATCACAGTCATGTCATCTTCATTATTGGGCGTGCACTATGGATATAGAAGTGATAGGAAAGTGGCATCATAATATGAATAAGGAATGAACAGTCAAACTGATTGGTGTAAGGTGTGCGTGATAGGTGATCGCAAAAAATAAATAAAAGGATACAGTATGTCCTGCTCTACTTTAAGGCTGCAGTAGTTTTTTCCGAACATATCAACATGGTATGCTTAATCACAAGAACAGACCAAATACACGGGCCAGAATGAGCATACATAGACAAGTAGATGCGAAGGACAACACATGTACATGAAATGTAATTATTGATGTATTTGAAACTTAAACCAGCAAGGTACATGAAAAACGCACAATTATATCGCAAGTATTTCCATATGTGAACATTTATGTAAGTGAAAATATACGAATATAAAGATACAGCATGCGCAGATACATGCAACATACAATTATGCCGCAGGGATTATATAGCGGAAAGGGTATATCCCTCAGGCGAATCTGAGCTATAATTGTATTCCGCTCAAATCTTGTCCATCGCGCCTCTTCGTTCTCAACTGCAAATGAGTTAAATTGACCATAAGACCATAAGATATACACAATATTAGTGGAAGGAGAGAAGGGTTAAGAAAGTAAGAGAACAAGATAAAGGGAAAAGAATAATCCAAACTTACAAGACGGAAACGATTGAACTCGACTATACAGACAAGTCACAGTCGCTAGAAATCACGGGAAATTCCGAATTAAGAACATTCAGAATATGTACCAGTACCTTGCATGCACACATATCACCTCACGAATGCAGTTAGGCGGATCCAAACCATACCTATGCCCAATCACACACACCTACACCAGACATCATGTACACGCAAACCATTATCTGAACGCCACATTGCTGCCCTTAGAAAACTAAAGCCTTGATCACCTCATAGAATATACACCCCTTTCCTCAGCTACCAATACAAACAGACCTGTACTAAGAAATAGGGACCACTATCCAATTGGTAAACTACTTCTAGGCCTAGTACCGCAGCCATACTTCAAACCATACAATACTATACTAAGTGAAATGCGCTCTTTACCATCCAACTGTACACGTATAGGTTATGAGCGAGGTAGCTTCAATTCCAGCCACTCTACATCCAACTACCAAGTACGCATAAAACCTTACACCCAGCTACAACAACCACATACCCGCAGTAGGGGATAACGACGCTATCCACCTGGCACACTCAGCATCACTGGCCTTCTTAGCCGCCGCATGGCGCTGCTTGGCCTGTTCCTTTGCCAGGCGTGCACGCCTTTGTTGTTCCAGTTTTTCTTGAGCCAATCTCTGCTGTTCTAAACGCTGTGCTTTTTGCTGTTGATCCAAGGTTTCGCTTTGGGTCTGCTGCTGCTGGAGGGTGTTTTTGGTGTGTCTGCGGATGTACTCTTGTTGCCAATTGGGCTTTCTCTCCTGCCAAGGAATCTTGTCGGGTTCAAAGCCATGCCCGTAATGGTTATCCGTATCGTCGAAGCTATAGGTGCATGTATTCATACAGGTGTACATCAGTATGTGTGTCATAAAACGTCAGGAGCTGTGCATTTTTCCATTTGCGTATTAAATAAATATCTTTATTTGAACAGGGTACATAATTGTCTATGTATGAATTTCGATTTGGATGTGCATCTATACAAGCATAGCAGTGTGTATGGCGGTCAGAGTACACGCTTCTCGCATATGCTACCTAACCACAGGGAAATGGCCAAACATAATGTACATGTATACATATTCAAATAGATATATACACATACTCAAATAGATCGAGATCAACGAAACACAAACAAGTGATGCTACCAACCTTCCCCAGATGCGCCATTGTCTCCAGAGTGTCTCTGCAGCTGGGTCAAGATATCCACCCATCATGCGCTGTATATGCAGACCCCTTTCCCGTGTGTATATAGAGTTGCAAAACTTGCACAACTGACGTTGGAAATTGAATTGTGAAGGTCTGTACGTCCCGCAGGCCAGGCAGGTTTGCCTAAGCCGTTGCTGTTGAAGAGACTCACGGCGGCGTTGTTCAGCGAGCACGACCTCGGCTTGTTGTTTGCGGAGAAGCTCTTCTTGCTGTCGCAGATTTTGCCTATTAATGGGTGGGGAAGGATGGTCGAGAGAGGCGGACATCACTCAGAATGTGTACAGAAACTTTTCTTTCTCGAAATGCCGACAAGAAAACACTAGTGAATGATTGTATCTACGTAAATTGAACCGATCCTCGCTTTTAGAAAGGATATATGGTGTTCCCAAGCCTATTCAAATACAACATAACATACCTTTTCACCTCTTCTCGGGCCGCCGCCATTTCCCGTTCCCTCCTTTGCTCTTCGGTTTCTGATCACACAGAAGAGACCAGGGATATATATTAGAGTGGCTGACAAATAAAGTATTCTCGTATGTAAGCCCTCATTTGTCAGCCAGCTATGACATGCACACCATCTCATTAACAGCCCGCCAAGACAGCCTTTGGTATACATTATCACCCACAATCTCGTACACACTCAACGCGCCAATACGAAGGTACGGGAGTCAGGTATTCTGCATGTACACACCAACAACATGGTTGTATAAGCGCTGGTCAGGATTCCCAATCACAAACTACGAGCACATCCAAGAGCCCTAGAACTCCTCATAGGTAACTCCCATCGCACCGACGAAACGAACCAACACATTCGAAGAGCCTCTTTCAACTAAGACATCGACAATTTCACAGACACAAACAACTCAACACGTAGCAATACATCGACAACATCTCTTACCTATGGCTTCATGCTATATGCGTTCCTACACATTTCTACACATTCCTACACACTCATACCAAAACCCTACACGCTTGTACCAAGACTATCTCCAGATAGCTACACGCCCATACCAAGACTCTACAGTCACCTACCAAGAAGACCGATCAGATAACTACACGCAAACTATCGCACCCATACACGCTCGCACACTGCCCTCCACCCACACCCACAGTCACCTACCAGACTGCTGGAAATTATGCCAAGTGTTCGTATAGGTACTTGTATTCGGGTTGGTGTATAGAGGGTTTGCTCTCCCCTGCTGTTGCTCGGCCCAGCCGTGTGTGCCACTGTTCCTTCGCGCAAGCTCTATCGGGTCGTTCCACTGCGCTGTTGGTTGTGTATATGTACCAGCACCAGCAGTATTGAATCCTGGGTCATATGATCCCCCTTGAGCTGGACCTTGGGCCTGGCCCTCAGGGTGTGTGTGTGTGTATGTATGTGTGTGTGTGTTTGTGCTGGATTGCCCTGCTGAGGACTTATCCTGCTGCTCCTGCTGTTGCTGCATAGTCAGTATGCTCGCCACAGCCTCTTCACCGCCGCAACTATTGACCCACTTGTTAAAGACAGTCACATACTTCAGACACAGTGCACGCAGGTCGTTCTTCTCAATCACGCCGTCAAATCTTTGCCCAACTACCGTAAGCACCCGTTTCATTTGCCCTGCCTTGAGCTCGAGAATCTGTGCTGGGCGCAGCGAGCATACCTTTTGTATACACAGAAGATAAACGCAGTAGTTAGTGTGTGTGCGCGACCACGTTCGTTGATATGCGGAAAATCAGTTGTGTGAGGAAATGAACCAGGGTATTGGCGTTCAGGTGTAATACTATTCGTGTGCGAGCACCTACAAGTAAACATACGCATCGATACCAACAAGCACTATGGCAACGGAACCAAACAAGTCAAATCCACACTTTTCGCCCAGAACCAGCGAGAATCAACATATGCATTAATATCAACAACTACCATAAGCAGTAGAACTAAACATGCGTCATGTATGCACCATACCTTTCGCATGGTGTCAGGGTGTGACTTGGCCGACCCAAACCCGGTATCCAAATCCGGACCGAAGATATCTGGCCGGGGTCGGTTCGTATGCTCTGTCTTCTCCTCAGGAGGTGCTGGGGTTGATTTCTTACGAGACCGTTTCCTACTATCACTCGTTGTGGTTGTATATACATCTAATTGAGCAGGATGGGATGAAGTTTTGGAGTTTTAGATTTTTAGATTTAGTAGCTGGTAGGGTTTTACAAATTTAGGGTACTAGGGTTGAGATGCAGTGGATCGGGATGTATATATATATTGGTTCAAAATCAGTCCTATATTCTTTTCTAAAATCAAGGCTTTTGAACTGATATTACCAACACACGAAGCGTGAATCTAAAACCTAACCCCGATCATACATCTGATATTGTATATTTCAGTGGTCGTCAGATACACATTGGGCCTATTTTGGGATAAGCAACGCAAAGCTAAAGGATATTCGCCTACTGCACTTCCTATAGAATTTCTTATCTATGATTTACTTTCTGGGCCACAATTTGGATCCATCATTAAATTGACACAGTAAATATGTCACACAAGCAGTGAGTATCACCATCCCGTTTTAAGAGTCCGGTCCCCACACCAACCGTACAAACACATAATAATTGTTGCCTGCCAGACAAATAGACACAAGAAAGTCAAATACACAGGCACATGCAACCATAAAAAGGTGGTGGAGGTGAATGGCGACGGCTGCGCTTTTAAGATTGGCTACGATGTTAACAGCCATACGGTCCATGCATGCATTCCAAACTGACTACATAAACTGCAATCTACCTTCATCCTCGAAGTCCTCTTCAGACGCATCCTCGACGAAGCTTGTTCTAGGCTTTGTACGTAATCTTGAGCTTCTCCTAGGACTGATCTTATTGTAGTCTAAGAATAGAAAAAAAAGTCGATGAATCAGAAGTGTGCATTGGTAGTTGTATACTCGTTGTGCTGAGTGGCTTGAAGCGATTAATAAACAAAAATAGCTCGCGACTTTTTTTTTTTGGACAAATTGGATATGTACTCGAGATCGGATCACTTGCGAATAGGCTGCGATGTAATTATAATATACAACTTGCCAACGGAGTGGCGAGGTGGCCCCAGATTTACATGTACCAGCGTTAAGTTGTACTCGACAATTGTCTACCATGCAAGTACGCTAGCACACACTCGGCTGCATCTACGTAAAATTCCAGAATGTCAAAGGGCACAGATTCTCATTTGTTATCACCTAAGAAGTGCTTTTGAACGCACACTTACATAGTATATACGACTAAAAATTGCAATGTCTCCATCATGCAGCAAAAATCAGTACGAATATCTAATACCCACCTTCTGTCGCTTTCCTATATTTGCACCAGAACGATTGCCACACAATTAATTGTCCGCTTTCCATCCGCGCACTATTCCTAAGTGCACACTCTGTGACTCACGGCAAGATTCACTACACACCACACATGCATAGCCCATTTACACGCACCACCCACAAACATATTCCCTTTACAAACACCATACACCTTCATATTCCATTTGACATACCACACCAACATATTTCATACAAAAACACCACACAAGTTCATAGACTATGGAAAACACCATACACCACACACCTTCACAGTCCATTGTAAGACATTTCACACTACACACCTTCATATCCGATATCCGCCTTCGTAAAGCTCCCGTCGGGTCTCTTGAGCGTATCAGCCGCCACTGCTGCTGCTTTCTCATCGGGCTTCTCATCGGTCTGTGTACCACCCACATCGCTGGTCTCGTCTATGCGCACGCGAACACGCACACCAGGCGCGTGTTTGTGAATGTGGTGTACTGGTGGGAGGTTTGCGCTGGTTTCCGATGGTGCTGTTTTATTCGACACCCCTGCCGATCCGCCCGTCATAGGGTCTTGCGCCTGTGTGCCGTCAGCGTCAGGACCAACCTTCGTAGTGTCGGGTGTTTGCGACTGCTTCGCGGCGTGTGCTTCCTCAGCGTGTACACTACTCTTCTTCTTCATCACACTCTCCCTCGGGTCGAAGGCCTTTCGATGAGACTTGTGATATGGAGGGAAATCTTCCATACGCTTGCCAAAGCTCCTCATAGCATTGGCCCGTTTCTCCAGCACAGCCGCAGCTTCTTGTACGTCGAGTTTGCGTTTATTCGCATCCGCTTCCCCGCGCTCTTCGCTGTCTACAGCCTTCCCCGTGTCTTCCCTCCTACTAGATACTGCTGTATCTCTACTTGTCGAGAGCTTGTCAGACTCCCTGCTGTCGTCCACGCGCGTCTCGGTGTTCTGCTTAGGCCCGGCCTGCTTCTCCAGTGCTGTGGCTGACAGTGGGGCCCTTTCCTTATTTGTGCCAGTGTTGTCTTTGTACACCTCGCTTGGCTCACTCTTGGCAGCAGCCTCTCTCTTCTCCCGCTCCTCCGCAGCCATCATAATCTGCGACATCTTCATACGCCGTGCGGCTTCGCTCATAGAGGGCGTCGTGTCTGCTGTAATTGAATCTTTGTGCTCTGCAGCGTTCTCTCTGGACCTCTGGCTGAACGATTTTATGTCGTTAATCTGTGTGGTCTTGGATACAGATGCCACACCGACCCCAGAATCCGCCTCGGAGTTCGCTACTTCCCTCCTGCTCTCACTTTCTGGCACCCGCCCGTGCGACGGCAAATCAGCGTCTATATCATCTTCGCCCGAGCCTTCGTCTGAAGGCACATCCATCGACATAGGCACAAATTTATCAACACCATCACTCCCCCTCTCGCGCTCCCCTTCTCTAGCCCCCACAGTATCTGAGTGTGATTTGGTAGCAGTCGCCTGCGCGGACGCTTCATCTGAACTGTCAGCGTCCAGGTCTATATATACTGTATCGCCTACCAACTTTTCATGCAGATGCTTGCCCGTCTTCTCATCGGTTTCATTTTGCGCACCATCCCCCGTCTGCACCCTCACACCTCTATTGGTATCGCCGGTGTCCTTGCCCGACTTTTCAGGGCCGCTGCTCTCGCCCGCGCTCGCCACCGAAGACTCACCCAACACTCTCTCACCACTATCCGTAATACTATCTTTGCTATCCTTAGATGCAACCGCTGCTTGTTTCCCAGTCACATCCTTTCCCTTAGCAGGCTCGCTTGTAGCCTGGTTTCCCACCTCCAGTACGTTGTCTCTACCCTCGCCCGACGGCCGTTGCGTGTGCGTATGAGGTTTGTCAGCTGTCTGGGTGTGTTCTAATTTGCGCTTCTTCACGCTCTTGTGGTCAGTACTGGACCCTTCTTCCTGTATTCGTCTACCATCAGACGTATGTTCCCGTGCATCATCATCTACAGTCTCAGCCCTACTAGCCTTCTCCTTCGTTTCCGTATCCTGTCTACGTTTCTTCTCATACGCATCTGCGTGGCCGCTTCGAGATTGCTCACTATCTCGTATCCTATTCTCCGCACGCCTATGCCCATGGCCGTAATTCGTTTCGTTCTGAATGTTTTTTAAGTGCCGAAAGTTTGCACCCTGCCCGTACATGTGATGGAATCTAGTTAAATTCTCATAGGCCATAATACTTGCGCGAGGGACACGAAAACTTCTCATGCTCTCATTGTGGTTGTACACTGCCAATTCGTGCACATGCTTCTCTTGGGCTTTCCTGCGACGCTCTCGTAGTGCATTCGTATCTCCATATAACACCCGCATGGCCCTCACCTCTGCGTCAGCCTCGTTTGTGTATTCTGAGGTAGATTGCCCACTATTTTGCGATTGAGCTCGATTTTGTGTGTAGTCAAATGCATAATTTGACCGTGGTTGTTTCTCCATACTTTTCCCACTTCGTATGTTTAAACCCTTTGAAGAGCCGCCCTTCTGCCTGACCTGCTCTCGCACCTCGACAATCCTGTCTGTTTGGTCTTGCATCGGTGTGTCGTCCCGAGATTCTGATGTAGCCATTTTTTTCTTGTGTAAGTATGCGTGCACTGTGCTTTTTGTTTAGGTTTTTTTTCTGTGCCGAGCCTCTCTTTCTTCTGCTCATAATCTTTTATATGCTTCCGGGTGTATACATGGCCGTTTGCGCCTGCGTTTGTGCTCATGCTACTATTATGTGCGTGTGGCGATAGTCTGCTCAACAACCCAGTAGGGCGAGGGTTGGCTGCCAACTATTCGCCGACTATGAATGACCGGTCTCTTGTGTAAACATCTAGTTAATTTGGGGAGCCGTACGTGCTCTTACTACATAACGCCATGCACTCGGGCCAGCTATATCTGGGCGAAACACCGAGTTGAACTGTAGTAATATAATACGAGATGTTCTCTCGGTATTCAAAAATCACTCAAACAGTAGGACTCATTCATAGTATGTTTGTAGCACGTCAAGTGTACTGTTAGCCCGGTGTGTAAGCGTACACATATACGAATATACGTGTATGCACGGCGAGTTGGATGTTGTGTTTGAATACGTTACGCTCGAATAAATATATGCACAAGACTTTCAATGATTCAATCACAATTCACAAAACTGTCTGAGGGACCAAAATCTCGCGGGGAAAATACTATTTCGCCGATCAATTTGATTGGCTGAAATTCGATAGAGTTCGGTACTTTCTTTAATGATATAGATGTGACATCTAGTTGCATACTCGATATAGCATAGTAACCTCGAATACATATGGAGTATGCTCAACAGCCCTATGTACAAGTCTTTAAAATATCTCTACTTGGTTTCGTTTCATAATACCATATATCAATGAATATTATAAAAGGGATTGTGCATGGAATCATAGATTGATACCACCGAATACCGATCAGTGATGTCTCTCAGTGCCGTTTAAGAGATAAACACACACAGGGTGAGTCTGTGAGTCCGTGAGTCCGTGAGGGGGTGATCAAGCGACAAGCGCGCTTCTTGATTGTTTTTGATTTTTCAAAATAAAAATATGCGTTTTTCAGAAACCCAAAAATCGAAAACCTTAAAAAAAAGGGGGGGTTTTATGCATATGGTACAATTAAACACGAGCCAAATCTTCGGAGTACCGCACCATAGTAGTAGATACATTAGACCAAAGTTCAAGTGTGTAGATTATGTTGTATCGCGAATTCACATACATACTGTGAAGTGTGAACTCATCCACAAGTCTGCGCAGTTGTTTGCATATATTTAGCATATATGGGTGGATAGCAGCCCATTACTTATGATAAGCATTCAGATCAACCGTTGTACGAAGGCCAAGGGCAATTCCTTATCAGGAGTGGAGCCGTGGTGGATAAGAGCTTTACTACTAGAGTGTTATTATTAAATGGTATACGTATAAGTTGGCAATTGTCGCGAACAAACAGTCGATGCGTCGAACACTTGTTGCAAAGCATATTCTACGAATCACTCAATCATCGTTGATCGTAATCAATCACGGAATCTGGAACAGACATAATTTCAATATAAAAATATCGTCGAAGACTCATCAAAGGGTTCAACTTTTCAAACTGATGTTTTAAAAAATAAATAAATGAAAGGGTGGACATTTAACCAGGAGTTGGACCCTATTTTTATCTCAGAAAATAAAACTACAATTTGTATAGGGGGGGGGGGGGTTTAAACTCCCCAAAAAAACAGAAAGGTGAAATTAAAATCCTCCGTGAGCCTATGAGGGCCCAGAGAATCTAGGAAACCCAATTTTATTGCAATTTGATTGGTTAATTATTCTCTTGTTGCTCTTCAACAGATTTGGAAGGGCGTCGAGACTCGAGAGTTGTTGACTGTTGGACCGTTGAGTGATGAGTCATATTTAGCCTCTGGATGAGTCATATTTAGCCTCTGGATGAGTCATATTTAGCCTCTGGATGAGTCATATTTAGCCTCTGGATGAGTCACTATCTTGACCGACTTGCATAGACAAATAAGACCAATTTTTTTCTAAAAAAAAAGAAGAACAAAAAAAGAGCTATATTTTTTATTAGAGCAAACAGTTAATCGATTCGAACAGACTATTATTTCAAATGTTATTGGTGGATATGAATTATCTGTTCATATGTATGTCCTTCATACTACACCATTCCATTTAACTGGACAGAATTTCTGATACAGCTCTGCGGCAAAGGCAAGTCGTCTCACGTATGTCAGATTACTGATTTCGTGTAGAGAAATAACTTTCCGAAGGATAGACAAATACTGAAATACATACCTACATATCAGATATACTACCCAAAGATTACAGCTTCACATCATACAATATGTGTATTGAAATCTCTAGAGACAAATAAATAAATAAATACTCTAAAACCCTTTAATTTTTCAAGGAAATTATAAATAAAGTACAGTTAGATTTCGTAACGAAATTTCAATGTTTACCTTTGTAACTAAATTTTAATGTTAATCTACACATTGTCATTCACCAAGATTGATTTTTTTTGTTGCACCAACGTGATAAGGCGCGCGTATTGTCGTTTCCAGCTATTGTGGTGAACGGTAACACACTGCTTCGATTATTCTAATAACTGTGAACATAACTCCCCGCAGGGCGGAGTGAGCCGAGCTCGGTAGATTCATAATTTCGCGTTTTGAAGTATGAATATTTTTTATAATCCTGTCTGTGTTTGAAATTGTATGTTGTATATTACAGTACCGAACTATAAGATGCCACACAATTGCTGGATGTCAAAACTTGCTGGGTTTAGGGTTCCTATCACAAAACTTTTGTCAGTTCACAAAAATTGTGTCGCGCTTGTTGGTTCCGACTATGATACTTCCGATCCAGGCCAGCCAACACATACCGAATTCATCCGTGGTCTGGTGCGGCATTGGCTTACCCCCATCCTCGCTTCTCGACCGAATTATGACGGATAACCTGGTCCTTCTCAGTATTTCGTACTCTGCACTAACCCATTCCGCGGCACTACACGGCGCAAACCAAATCCGTACCACAGAGGTGGGTACTCTACTTAGTAGGTCAGCAAGCGAATATATGGAACATTCGATAGTAACAGTGTTTTGCCAACACCAACCCGAATTGACTCAGCACATATCTTCCGTTGTCGACTCACTTGGCCCAAGCTTCAAACGAGAATTTACTGACCACTTCTGCCCATCAATCTTTCCTGAACCACTACAGCGACTATGAGTGCCATACCATATGTTCATACATTGTATCATACATACTTGCCATTTTTGAAATAAATAATATTATCCCTATGGGACTTTGGGTCAGTCACAAATTTTGTGTTTGCTTACAGAATTCATGTCAACGTGGGTCATTATCTATATCTGTTATGTTAACCAATAGTGTCTGGTCTCACTCAGTAAACCAATGCAATCGGGGTTCTCTTAATCTTAATTTCTATTGACGGACCCTATACAGTGAGATTTTCAACAAAAAATCCTACGCATACACCCACCCTCAATCACAGGTCTATGTCCGGCGGGGAAAATAAAAATCAGATTACACAAAGGTAATTTCATTGGTTGAAAACAGTCACAAACACGTTGATATCAATATTTCTGAGATGATTGAATTACCTTGATATCCAATAGTGATTTGGTTTTCACCTTGTATCCGTTTCTTAAATGGATTGCTGATTCGGGTACTTAATCAAAATTTTCGAGAACTTTTCATAATACAATGAGAGTTGTCTCGTCCCAAGTTAATGGCACAGACTGAACGGATACAAACTATGCGGTTGATAAGAATAATACTATTTATTCCAAAGGAGATAAGAAACAATGTATGTATATATGGTATGGCTCTTATAGCCGTTGTAATGGTTTGGGAAAGATCGATAAGAAGAAGTGGTCTGTAAATTCCCGCTCGAAGCTTGGGCCAAGTAAATCGACGATAGAATATATGTACGGGGTCATTTCACACAAGACCAGTACTGATAGAAAACTGACAACATTGACTATGTTGCCACGTATTCATTTGCTGACCCACTAAATAGCGTAACCACCTTTGTAGTATGCATCGGGTAGAGCTGAAAAGAAGTAGATGGAGAGAGAAGCCGCTAGGGCCGCCGCAGCTACTGCTGCCGATGTAGCCACTCCGATTAAGGACACTACTCCCACAGACAAAGCCCGAGGGCCAGCTATTGCTTCAAATTCAAAGCTTGTATTTACGAAGCCAAGAAGTGAGACAAGGGACACGTCTCAAGACGCCCCAATCAATTCTTCTGACAAAACTTAGAAAGAAAATTCCCCAATTATAAGGGAGTTCCCAATTATAGGGGACAAAGACGAATCTCAGAAGGTACCTATAACGGAACCAGAAGAAGAGGCAAGCTCAAGTGATAAAGCCGAATCTACGTCCGAGACCACTGAACCAACGCGCATAAGTAAGTAAATTACTGAAAACACTGATCTTAAGAATCAGTTAGCCGTCCTTATGAAAGACAGGACTGTGGAACAAGTAGATCGATTGTATAGATCAAGTAAACAAACACAGCACTTACGCGAGCATGTTTCTCCGGGCATTACTGAAGCCCTACAGAAGTGGACAGAACGTGGACAGGAAATTACACCTAAAGAGCGTAAAAGCTGGAGCGCTACACCTGTGGCAGATGAGTTAGATGTGCTCAGCGTATCTATACCTTACGAGGTACTACCATCAGAGCTTCAGGTTAATTACTCGCCGTCCTTGAGGGTATTATAGACCCAGAGGCAGGTAAAAATACTCCGCCACCTTTACCCAACTGTGATGAGAATCGTCGGAAACCAGTTAAGACTGGGTATGTTATTCAGACGCATGAATCACCCAAGACTATAATACCAACTACTATCCTAGGGACAAAGCACCGAAAGGCCTCGACCATGGAATTTATAAGGAGTAATAAACACCCCCGTAAAAGTGTTAACAAAGTCGAATTTAATCGCTTCGATCGCACAGCATTACACCAGCCCGCAGAGGATTTCCACTCTGACGAGGTGACCGAACTTAGTAAATCGGTCGACGATTATACCATTAAAATGGAAATCGCCCATGCTGCGCACCATGCTGATGATGTATCATATTTTGCTAATATGATCGCGATTAAGCAAAAGCGCA